CCGAGTCCTTTGCGGTTTTCGGCAGCATACTGTGAAAACTGGAAGATATTGATCACCACTACCTAAAAACGACTCTTGGAGTGAGGGTAACATGCTTTTGTTCGACCGACTAGAAACAGCGACTGGGTTGGTTAGCGCGCGTTCCTCCCCGTCCTTACCTAAACCAAACCGGGCTTCGTCGTGCTATAGGAGGAAGACATCGGCCCAGAATATGGCCGGACCCTCACGGAGACGGTTCTCGAAACAACGGCGGTCAGAATTTCGGTGCTATCCGCTGCGGTCGATGATCACTCGAATGTAGAAGTACTGTATAGCTAGCTTGATCGGGCATAATCGTAACACGTACAAGTAGGCTTATTCGTCAGTTGCAGCACAGAATCGTATTTAAGAACTACTGACGTCTTCACAATGGGGGGCGGGGGGTATAAAATAGCTGTGTTTGCCAGAGAAAGGCAGTGAGGGGGGAGGCGGCTCTGTAGGATTGTCTTTTTATAGACGCGGCATTTTCTGCCTGGATATCTTCGTTGGGGATGCCAGAGCTGTTATTCTCACAGCCTGAGGTCGAAGATTTTGGCGGCCCTCTGCAGAGCACGGGCGTTCAGTTTGGCGGGTGGTTGTGTCGGAGTATCGCCAGTGGAAGATGGCGTTGGTTTTGTCCCTGATCCAGCGTTGGAGGTAGCATTCTGAACAAGAGCGGAGAGATTGCGGCGTATGCGATCACGGATGGGATCCTCCTTATGACGGTAAGAAAGGGCGAATGCAAATTAGAGTTAGTGGCAAGTATTAGCACCAGAGAAGAAATAAAGGACTTGCTTAGTCAAGAAGCGAATGCCCGCGGAGGATTCGAACTGCCGACCTGCAATGCACCAATCAGAATTGTCTGGTCTTCCCGTTGGTGGTGCGTTAATTCATATAGACTACCTACTCAAATAAAGTAAGTAACAAATATTCGTAGGCGCTTGCCAAAGTCGAACTGCCGACCTCGTGTTCGCCAACCAGAACCGTTGGTGGTGCGCCCCCTAACTTTTGCCACTGTTTCCAACGATGAATCCAATCCGAGACGCTGCAAAAAACACAAGACGGTCATTCCAGTCTCCCTCGTCCGTGATGTTTCCCCACTGTCATGTGCAGTGTACCGCTCACGAATGTCCAAAATACTCTAAATGCACAATGCGATCGTGGGACATTTACAGCGCGTCAACCTTGACGGGGGAATCTGTACTGGGGCCACACTACCGGCTACCGTATGGATGTCCGTCTCCACGATTGTCATGCCGTTTCTGGTC